GGCACACAAAAGTAATGAACTTTTGTGGTAACACTTTTTTATCAGGCACCATTAAGTTGGAATTAATTGCTTTATTAAAGGTCAGGAAGATGTGCACAGTTTCTCAACATGTTCACACTGTAGTCCATCGATGTCTTTATTATTTTGCAATCTACTGAAAGACTACAGTATGGTCCCATATAATCACTATGTGTTCAACACTTTGATGATTATATATTCTGAAATGTCATACAGTTCAACAAAGATGAAATATAAATATAATTGTTGTTTTCCCACTAAGAAGAAATATTTTATTTCCTTTTTTACAAGTTTCTGTTTATTTTGTGTGAATATGCAAATTAGGCATAGTCTGAAACACCTCCATTGGACTCCTTTGTTAACTTCCATAGCATAATGACATCACTATGTGACACTCACACTTATATTGGCTAGTGATCCATCACCCTGCACATGATTGGCTTAGGAGCAGGACAATCTCTAAGCGGTTGAACAATCACAACAGAGCCGGCCGGCTAACCAATCAGAGCAGACTGGGCTCTGGTTTCAGACAGAGGGTGAAAAGAGGTGCTGCAGCACAGGCAGTATGAGAAAAATAAAGATCTTTTTGAACATTAAAGCATGGAGACATGTCCCAGTAGAGACACTAAAGACTGATATGAACCTGAAGAAGAGCATAACAACCATCCATTATGTGGAAAACTAGAGGTTTTCCACATAATGGATCAGGTAAAGATATTTATATAAGATTATTATAGATTCTTATATAAACGTTATTGTTTGCCACAGCCTTTAAAAATCACATTTGTACTCACACTGCACAGTGACTGAATTGTTTTCATGTATTTATTCTCCTTCATCCAATCTTCCTCACTTTGGTCTCCAGCAATGCTAAAACTCTTTGCATGTGAGCAGTAATGATAGGGTTTGAGTGGGAGTAGAAGAAAGGTGCTGCAAATGGAGAGGGAAAAAGACCACAATTCTTACAGGATGAGTTTAATGGAATACTTTCTGTTAAAAAGTGAGAAAAATATGGAGGACAAAGGCATCTGGGACTGCCAAGGCACACAGGGGGATAGGAGGTGCTATTTTCCCTCCACTTCCGATGGATGAATACTTAGCAACAGCCAGGAGGTTTTACAGTTCACATACCATCAGGCTGCGCAGGTCCATTTCTCTTTTCTTTCACGCACTCCTACTTGAGAGAATAGATGGTGTCTGGTGTATTTAGTTATGAGTCTGAGGTGATGAACTAAATGCACTACTACACGGATAGGCTTCAGTACTGTGACTTATTCATAAATTCTTGAGCACTTTTCCCCATAAGAGAAGGCTTAATTCACACACCACACATTTAGATAAATGGCACTCAGAGTACCGGGTGCTTTTCCTCACAGTTTGGGTGACGGCAAAGCTTTTCTTACAGATAGTCAGCAGCACCGGCTCTCATAGCCCCAGATGGACCCACCGTCATGATTGAATNACAGCAGTTACAATGGTCAAACTACATTAGAACAGAATTGTCCCCATTTTATCTTTAATAGTTACTAACATTAGATATTTTAATGAGATATGGACCGCAAAACATTTTTTAAATCAAGTCACCGAATGCAAGTAGTCGCCTTAGCTTATTTTGTTATGAGATGTGAATTACTGTTCAATTTATTTGATAATAATCGTTTGGTTTCTTTTACATTAAAAACAATTTTCAAAAGGTCTTATGTTTTTTTTCGGGGGGAGGCCCTTTTTCGTTTAGAGCAATAGCCCCTCCAAATGTCTGTGCACGTCCCAGCTATCAGAAACAATGCCTGACGTGTTTTGGACGTAACATGGTATTCTATGCAGGGCGCGATGACAGATAGTATTCCTGCAAAACAGGAGAAATGATGAACAACGAAATCCTTAGCTGCTCGTTTGGCGGGTCTTGCCAGAATGTATTATTCATTTGGCACACACACAATTGTTAATGTCCTTAACCATTTGACACACGACACACACAATTGTTAATGCCCTTTTCTGTCTGAAAATATAAACACTTGTCCATATGTCTTCAATATATTTGAAATAAACACCATGACTTAAAATAAGAATTTCTCTATTCAGATATTGATTTTGTAATCAAACCCTTTTAAATACCTTCCCAGGTAAAGCATCAGAATCTAATCTGTGCTAGCATTAACATCCCACAAGTATTTATGTATTAACTATGACCATAGAACACATACAGATAATACAAAACACACACACAAAATGCTTAGGATATAAACCCAGAAAATATGTAAGTACAAAATGTACTTGCATTCACTTTGATCAAAGAGCTTATGCTACATTAAAATAGCGACCGCCATTACACACACACGCGCACACAGCAACCACGAGACAGTCTCCTACGCAGATTTGAAGACTATAAACAACGTCCAAACACCNGTGTGCCTTGGCAGTCTCAGATCACTTAATATTAGCAAATTCTATTTTATTTTAAAAAAATATTGATGTAAATACATACACATATCGATTTGTTTTATAAATATTGCAAATCAAAACCTTTATTCACTAATAATTACCAAAAATCGTAGTTCTATCTCCTGTTATCAATGCATTCACATTGCCTGCCATGAACTTCCGGGGAACGATCCTCGTCTGCATGAACCACGTGACGATAACCGTTTTTGGACTTCCGCTGTCGTAACTCTTCTATCTATACGGCGCTGGCCAGACCTAATGTCAATAATCGGCACTGTAAACACGACACAAGTTGGCGCCATATCCATGTCATTCATGTCAGTGAATGTACTTTGAATTTACCCTCTGTATGTATTAAGTAAATAAAGTTGCCTTGCCTTGAATGAAATTCATGCAACTCTTAATATTAGATAATGTGTTTTTAAGTGGCGATGGGTATTATTTGTTGACCCTGCTTTGAAGGATATTTTGCCTTTACAAATGGTGCGCTTTATCACTGCCTGGGTTTTGGTTGAAGTGTATCCAGGTGCTGCTGCGTTTTCGCGTGCGGCTCATTTTCCATCCGAAAAACACGTCGTCTACCTGTCCTGTACCACTTGTTATGACTTCTCTCTCGCGCGTATTCCGTTAAAAACCAACCCCATCTCACTCCTCGTGCTGAAACTATACCGATCAGAGTAGGGGCGGGTCTTCACAGAATACGTTCAGGGAGCAAAATCAAGCTTTTTAAAAGGCGAGTGGATTTTGGCAGGCACCTATGGTGCGGACCAACGATTGAACGATGACAAGAACGGCTCTCACCAAGTTTGGTTCGTACCAAAGAGCCGTTCAAAAGAATCGGCTCGTTCGCGACCGACACATCACTAGTTGTTAAGAGTGGTGGGGGCGGGAAGGGAGCGGATCGACAGCTTGAGCAACTGTCAACTCAACATTGTAAATAATCAACCAAAAACGATCACCGGTTCATCTTGTTTTTGGCGTGAGAATAGTTCGGGCAGCGTGAGAGCGTGAGATTGAGAGTGAAAGCGTGTGTCACACGCCAGATGCGTGAGAGTTGGCAACCCTGCACTAGAGGTGGTCTTAACGCACCGGCACCAATACATAGCCTATAATAAATATTATATCTATGATACGTAACATGTGTAATCACACACTTAGCGATATAGAACATAAATAATAAAAACGTAGGCCTACCTGGTTTAAAACACTTTTGTGGTCATACTGTGGAATGAGTTCACACTGAAACAAGTTCTTCATTCAAAATCGCGGGCAATTACATGTAAGAAGAAGGAGAAGAAGAAGAAGTCAAATAAGTAGTAGAAGAAGAATATAGCTGGGTGTGTTTCCCGTGGTTTCCCGCAGCGAGACACTAGAATACTAATTGTGGGCAGCCTTATCACGTTAATTCGACCCAGGGGCGCCGCCAGGGATTTTGGGCCCCATGAAAAGATATCACATTGGTTACTTAAAGATTTTTTTCTTAATGTTCTA